GTTTTATGTGGTGCACACATACCACAGAGATGTATTCTCTCATATCTAGGCCCTAATGTACCACTCACAGTTTATCAGAGTGAGCTGAGCTCATGGCGTAGATCTACGGTTTGGACCCTGAACGTAAAGCCGTAGATCTACGGGATGGACCCTGAAAGGGTTAAGGCCAGCAAAGGTTGGTTTGAAAAATTTAAGAATCGTAGTGGCATACATAGTGTGATTAGGCATGGTGAGGCTGCCAGTTCAGACCAAAAAGTAGCTGAAAAATATGTGCATGAATTCAAGGAGTACATAGAGGCTGAAGGATTGAAACCTGAACAAGTGTTTAATTGTGACAAAACAGGCCTGTTTTGGAAGAAATTGCCAAGCAGGACTTACATTACTCAGGAGGAAAAGGCACTCCCAGGAGTGCAAAGTGGCTTGAAGTGCAAACCTTTTTCTATGAAAATCACCCTGACACAGCTACTGCAAGCCGTGTTGGCAACCTGTACGCTAACAATGTTGTGAACCACTTTATGAAAGTCATAAAGGAACGAGAGGTACAGGTCTCTATGGACAGATATGTTGTGCGACCGAAGTCCAGTGACTCTCAAGCTGGTCCTAGTGGCATTAAAAGAAGAAGGGAAGTAACCCCGGAACAGGACTTGCTACCTCAAGTCCTAATGGAGGGGGATTCCCCTTCTAAACATTAAAAACTTCGACACTCTCCCCTCCTCCCATCCCATCAATCATCACCAGATCTTCATTAAAGATAAGTGTCAATTATTCCATTGTGTTTATTCTATTGTTATTATTGTTATTGTAGTTATTCTATTGCATTAAACTTAATATTTCATGTGGAAAAAGTTTTTTTTCATACTTTTGGGTGTCCTGCACGGATTAATTTGATTTCCATTATTTCTTATGGGGAAAGTTGATTCGCTTTCCGATAATTTTGCTTTACGATGAGCTCTCAGGAACGGATTAATAACGTGAACCGGGGGTCCACTGTAGTCTTTAATTATGTATAGTAATATAAAATAACATTTTTACTTACCTTTATTGAAGATTGGTGATGGCATATGGAAGATAGGGAGGGGGGAGAGAGGGAGTTGGGGTTATTGTTTGGAAGGAGAATCCCCCTCCATGAGGACTTCCGGTATCAAAGCCCTCTTTGGGGTTGCTTCCCTTCTCTGTATTTTAATGCCACTAGGACCAGCTTGAGAGTCATTGGACCCCAGTCTCACAAAATAACTGTCTACAGTCCTCTCTTTCTGTCTCACAAAATAACTGTCCACAGTTGTCTGTTTCTGTCTCACAAAATAACTGTCCACAGTCGTCTGTTTCTGTCACAAAATAACTGTCCACAATCGTCTGTCTCACAAAGTAACTCCACAGTCGTCTGTTTCTGTCTCACAAAATAACTGTCCACAGTCATCTGTTTGTCTCACAAAATAACTCCACAGTCGTCTGTTTCTGTCTCACAAAATAACTGTCCACAATCGTGTTTGTCTCAAAAAATAACTCTACAGTCGTCTGTTTGTCTCACAACTGTACACAGTCGTCTGTTTCTGTCTCACAAAATAACTCTCCACAATCGTCTGTTTGTCTCACAAAATAACTGTCCACAGTTGTCTGTTTCTGTCTCACAAAATAACTGTCCACAGTCGTCTGTTTCTGTCACAAAATAACTGTCCACAAACGTCTGTCTCACAAAGTAACTCCACAGTCGTCTGTTTCTGTCTCACAAAATAACTGTCCACAGTCATCTGTTTGTCTCACAAAATAACTCCACAGTCGTCTGTTTCTGTCTCACAAAATAACTGTCCACAATCGTGTTTGTCTCAAAAAATAACTCTACAGTCGTCTGTTTGTCTCACAACTGTCCACAGTCGTCTGTTTCTGTCTCACAAAATAACTCTCCACAATCGTCTGTTTGTCTCACAAAATAACTGTCCACAGTCCTCTGTACATCCTGGCAAGCTCAACAAGTCTCACTCCAATCTCATACTTCTGTATTATTTCCTTCTTCACATCTATGGTGTTTCTCACTTTCTTTACCACAGGGGTACCACTAGCAAGTTTCTTTGGGCCCATGGCAGCTTATTTCACAGCCCCACAAGCACTAAACACAATTAAATAAACGTAAAATGTGTGATTGAGATCGCAGGTTAGTGTTCACTCATGCATAAACAAAGCTAGACTGCTCACGGCGCCTGCGTGGGGATGCAGACAGAGCGGGCCAGTGGACAGGTCCTGTACCTGGCGGTCTGAAATTAGGGGCGCGTTTGATAACTGGGACACAGTTTGTCCGAAAAAATGGTCTTATTTTCGAAACGTTCGATATTTAATACGTTCGATTTTTGAGGTTCCACTGTACAGCCTTTCCTCACTTAATGATGGAGTTCCATTCCTAAGACTAGTCAATAAACTAATTCATTGCTAAGTGAGGAGAATACTACTACAATGATAGTGGGTGTCAACCATCTTTGATACTGTTTTATGCCACCTTTACACCATT